CACCCACCCCTCAAAACCAAAATTTTATTGCGGATTCGGGGTCTTCTTGCCGAGCGCAGAACGACCCCGTTTTCAAAAATAAAAATAAAAAAAATTCTGGGCGTTTTTTTGGCCCGCCCGGTTTACGGGCGGCCCAACCGGCTGGGCCGAGCCCGGCCGGGCAGGCCTGCCTCGGCAGCGTCCTCAGACTCCTCACCGAGGTTTTTTTTTTTTTTTTTTTTTTCAAATCCCAGTGGGTTAGCGGGTAAGGTGTCATGACAGCCGATTGTATGGTGGTGGGAAGACTGCTTCGGAAGAATGTGAAGGCAGTGGGCGACAAGAAGGGAAAGCAGGAGGCGAGATGAGAGGAGGATCAGACACATTCCGTGGCCAGGCCAGTATGTCGCAGCACTGGAAAGGGGGTGGGAACCTGTCAGGGATGCCTCTGCGTAGGGAGTGGAAGGGGTTTGAGGGTGCTGGGGTGGTAGGGGGGTGTTAGTAGTTGGAGGGGAGTGAGGCGGGAAGAATGGAGTCGCAAGTGTAAGGTAGAGGGGGGTCCACACCAGTTTGTCTCGTTGTTGCCCTAACTTATGTTTCCGAATGTCACCCTCTTCTGGATCTGGACTTGTGGCCAGCTGTTGTGCGTATTTGCTCGTCTTTACTTGCTCTTGCTACCGCTTAAAGAACCTTTGTTGCTTTATCGCCCGTGGATACGGATGCTGTAGTCTTGGCCTCGATTGGGAAGGACTCCTATTGAAGTCCCCTTCCCTCTACAGGGCGGTGCAGAAAGATTTTCCAACTGGATCTTGTATTCCTTTTGCAGTGGGCCCTTTGTTCTTCTGTCGTGTAGCGGATTCCGCAAGTGCGTGTGCCATTTTTTCCGTAATTGGAAAAAACCAGCGAGGAATCTCAGATTGCGCTTGGAATCTTCAGGTAGGGAAGATGCTCGAGACTCGCCTTGGGATCTACAGGTCTCGAACCTTGGGCTCACCAGATCTCCTCCACTGCTTTACTCGATCCTCTTCAAGTTCCTGCTCCTTCTTTTTTTTTTTTTTTTTTTTTTTTTAATACAGAACCTCTCAGTTCTGGCTCCTGCCATTCTGGGAGCAACAGTCCGGTTCCTACTCCCCCGGCAACTCAAATATGAATACAATGACAACACGCGCACGCTCCTCCCCATTATGGCTGAGAGGCCCGAGTGGACGGCATCGATTACTTCCCTAGGGAAGGATGTACCACCCCTCACCCCTGCCTAAGTTAGCCTATATCCTCCTCCTGATCCTCTGAGTCGCCTGGCTCCTAGTTCTTCTCAGCTGATTGCTGTTGGATAAACCTGAATGCTATAGTTGATGTCCGGGGCTGGCATCTAAGGGTTTGCTTGAAATTTGTTTCTACACAGCTCTACCCGGTTGTAACAAGGAACTTGTGTGAACTTGCTTACTTCTTGAGTTCTGTGGGATTTATCTTCTAACCTCCCTCTTTCTCAGCTTTTATGCTGCCGGGTACTCTAAATCCTATCTGAACTGTGGTTTCTGCCTTTTGCCTTCTCTTAAACCCTAAACCCTAGGCTTCTCGGGTCGTCTGTTGTACGCAGAGTGTTTTTCTTTGAGGGAGCCCTTTTTGTGTTGTCGCGAGCTCCGATTTGCTTTGTCTTAGATGCTCCTCTCCAGATGAACGGCAAGAAACGGATATTGACTCACTAGTGATGTATAGAGTCTATAGACGTATCATGGGGATTCAATCCCTGAAGTAATGACACTGTCCTTGGTCACACAACTACAAGGTGTCTCAAACGAGCGAAGTATTCAAGAAACCGTTTCACAATGCAGACCTGTTTTTTGCTCACTCTTATACTGTGGTGCTGCTCAGCAGGAATGCTGACTTCATGATGGAGGAGAGGGATCTGGTAGAGTCCCTCTTGAGAAATCATGTGATTTCTAGCACTTGTGTTTTCTGGTCACTGATCGCTATGGTCGCTCACTCTTATACTGTGGTGATGCTCAGAAGGGATGCCGACTTCATGATTGAGGAGAGGGATCTGTTTAGAGTCCATCTTGGTTGGAAGACCTGTACTGTGGTGCTCTTCAGCAGGGATGCTGACTTCTTGATTGAGGAGAGGGATCTGGTAGAGTCCCTCTTGAAGAACCATGTGATTTCTTGCACCTCTGTTTTCTGGTCACTGATCACTCTGGTCGCCCACTCTTATACTGTGGTGCTGCTCAGCAGGGATGCCAGCTTCATGATTGAGGAGAGGGATCTGGTGGAGTAAATCTTGAAGACCCATGAGATTCTTTGCCACTGTTTGTTTGGACGACTTGAGTAGAAGCCTTCTTCAGGACTCTCCAGCTAGGTTAGGAGAGGAAGTGGAGTGTTTAGTAATCCTTGAACGTTGAGGAGATATTAATATGTAGTATCGCAATCCAAAGTAACATTTCCACATGAATATCCTGTTCCATTTGCTGGGATGATACTAATATTGCTGTAATATTGCTGATGTTTTTGTCTTCTTGCTTCTGGATCGTTGTGTTGTGATGTTTGTGTGTGAAGACCATTACTGGTTGACAAAGCAAGTGGGCCAGCTGCGCCTGAAGGCATGGAAGAACGAGTCTACTTTCAGGGTGGATGGCGCCAAACTCCGGTAATTCCCCAGATTTCTGAAAATCATTTCAATCACCTGATTCACCTTGTCATTACCACAGTCGTGGCCTAGGTGCTTCAGAGATCGAGCACCTGACATGCAGCATAAAAACTGCTCAATGCTAAGTGTTGCCCAGGGACGAAAAAGGGTAACCTGCCAGACATGGGAGATATTAATTGCCTGATCATTGGAATGAATATCAGTGAACCATGTACACCTATGACATCCCCTCCAGTGCATCACACCACTGCAAATTGCACAGTAACCTCAGCCGGTGTCTGGTAAGGTTGATATGCTATGGCGAGCATCGTTAAGACAGCTTTCCTTGATTTGCAGCTTAAGCACTGCATTTGTTGCCTACTGCAACAGGGTGGCCGACGATGAATGGGAAGTGTTAGGCATCCAGGGGCCAGGGCCTGATCTTGGATCCATGGTACATTTTTCATACAGGCCGGGCTTTTCATATGATGAAGAAACATCAAGTTGCATGTCAGTAGTCTGTGCAGTGTCTGGCTTCTCATCCTTATGGCCCTGGCTCCATTTCCATTCTGGGGAGCATCAGTCCGGTTCCTAAAATATTATATCATAAAACACACTCTCGCTTCCTTCCGTCCAGCATTGATTATGCCAGCATCGTGGAGGATTGACTGTCAGCTTGCCTTATTTCCACCTTTCCTCTCAGGTCCACTATATGAACCTGTCAGATAAATGATAAAGAGCAAGAAAGGTAAAAGACGCTACGGAAGATGCCATCTCGGAATTTGCTCTTCAATATTACATGGCCTGTGATAGATCTGGTCCATCTGCTGGCTGGGATCTCCGGCATCTCCACCCTGCTTCTGAGTTGTGCCAATCTTTCCACCATATGCGAAAGTCGTTTATCTCTGCTACTTTGACCCCTGTGAGCCACACCTTAGTGAATTTTGCCTTGATTCTTCTCTGTTGCTCTTCGTCATCTGGCATGGAGTGTCTCGTCTTATGCCACTTATAAAGAATCTCTGCCCGAATCAAGGTCCTTGTCTCCGCCCATACCTTCTCCCTTGGAGTTGAGAGTCCCTCAATGGTTCTGCAGCACCTTTCCTTCCAGATGGACCACAGCGTTACTTTTCTGATCATTCCGAACCACGTTTTCTCTGTCTTGTGGAATTGAGCTGGGATGTTAGTCCATAAAAGGAGTTGGATGGGGTGTTCAGGGAGGGGAGTCGAGAAGAGGGAATCCCAGAGATCTCGACCAATATTCTGCCGCCTCTCTACAGCGTGTCAGACAATGTAGAATATCTTCTGGTTCGTTTTCCCAGAGATCTCGACCAATATTCTGCCGCCTCTCTACAGCGTATCAGACAATGTAGAATATCTTCTGGTTCGTTTTCTGAACATATTGCACATAAATCTGAACTGTTCGGGTCGTTCTTACTTCTTCTGATATGCAGCCACTGGTTAACCGGTAGAGCCACGTATGAGATGAGCCATTGGAGGCTTCTGATTTTGACCAGTCGGATTGACTTGAATTTTTTCCATGGTATTTTTGGGATCTGACTAGCGTCCTGACTTGTTAACGTCTGCCATCTGTTCTTAATCGTTGGGTCAGGGTCCTTCGTTTTGAGGAGTAAGTTGTTGCCCAGTTTGACTGTGTATTCCTGGATGGGGACCTTCGTTTTGAGACTTCTGCTTCTGTCAGGTGTCCAAGCCCACTCTGCTGGATCAAGTTCCAAGTCTTGAATCGCTGTATCTATTCTCAAGATTGTTTTTGGCCTTAGGACTGATCTTTCCACCTCCTTATTCAGGATAGATGGGAGGCCTTGTGTGGAGGGGGTAATTGGGAAAGAGGTAAACACCGCCAGGGTGTCGGACCCTTGCTGTTAATGGGAAAACTGATAGGCCCTTGAGGGGGTTAGATCTTACACCGTTCACCCGATTTCCAGGTTAAGGCTTCGCTCAACGAATCCTTCCAGCCTTTTGGGATGCAGTTGATAATGGATTGTAGATTCTTGTCTCGTCGGTGACATCCTTTGAGCTGGGAGGCAAGTTCCTGTTCTGTCACCCAGTCCTTTTTCTCCTCGTTCCACAGATGGCTCACTTTCCAACCTCCATGTTTGATCCATGATACCTCCATGTTTGATCCATGATAGTCATCTCCTTCCTCTAGGCTCAAGGGATAGTTGGTGATCACTTTCGTCTCTAACCCACGGGTACCAAATAGGGGTTGCCTTAGTACCTCTTCTTTGGATTTGGGTCTACCTACCTTCTTCGGCATGTCTTCCCTCCATATCCGTAGCAATGCAGTTCAATATGGTGTGGGGAGACTGCCTTCGTTTGGACCGATTCCTCTCTATGATCTCTGCATCCTGTACTTGGGCTCCATTCCTTGGTCATTACCTAGAACAACCGGACATATTTGCTGGTGTGGCTGTAGGTGCTAGGCCCCTGATGCTATCCAAGGCCAGTTTATTCCATGCCGTACCAGGTTTAGTCAGTAGTTTGACTATCCATTTAACTTGTAGGGCTTTGGTTTCCTGTTTGGGGTCTATGACACCAAGACCTCCAGCTGGTTTCCTTGTGATGTAATGTCAGACTATCTTTGGTATACAGTTCTCTTTGTTGGGGTAACCCGACCACAAATACACTCTTGCTTTGCGGTTAAGTTCCTTGATTGTATGGTCCAGAACTGCCGAGATTGACGTTATATACCACATCATTGAGAAAATAGATGTCTTGATGGCCAGTGCTCGGCCCAGCAATGATGTGAATGTGCTACCACATCTGCCCAGTTTGTTAATTTGTTTAGGGAGTATGTTTTGGGTCGTTTGAGGGGAAAATTTCTCTTTTGTCAGCCAAATGCCTAAATATCTCGTAAGGGTCTCCGGTGTCTCCCATGTCATGTCTGCCTCGGTCCTTGAAGTTGGGAAACCTCCTCCTCTGATAACCACCAGCCGATTGTTTTCTTCCAATTAATTTTCATTTCTAATGCCAACATGAAGGTTTCCATTGCTCTTACTAAGGCACTGAACGACGAGTCTACAACTCTTATGAAGACCGTGAGATCGTTTGCAAACATTATTACTGTCGGGAATTGTAGGTGGTGGGTTGTTCCTCGTACGTCCTACATTGCCCTCTTGTAGCCTGTGAATGGATGGATCTTTGCGTAGGAATGAGGTTGTTGCTTCCATCACAAAGAGGAAGATTGGGGGGGCTAGCGGGTCCCCTTGGCGAACTGACCGAGAGGTTGGATGGTAGTCCGAGAGCAAGCCATTGACTTGGACACACCCTATGGCATCATTATACAAAATGCGCACCCACTTCCTAAAATTTAGGCCCACTCCCATCTTTTCCATGCTTACATTGAGAAAGGCCTGGTTGATCTGGTCGTAGGCCTTTTCAAAATTGAAAAAAAGAATTGCTATGTTTATCCTTTTTTTCTCTGACTTTGTTGGCCGCTTCGTTGAGGGTTAGTACTTTGTCCACGATGTATCTCCCAAGGATGAAGCTTGTTTGTTCTATGTGAAAGCATTTATCTGTCAGGTTCAGGATTCGAAGGGCAAGAGCTTTGGCTAGGATTTTATAGGGAGGGGTTAAAAGCGAGATGAGTCTACAGTTCCTGATATCTTCTTCCTCCCCTTTTTTGTACAACAAAGTGACCACGCTGCTACTCAGTAAGTTTCCCAGTCCCCCCCCGAGCCAGCTGTCGTTGCAGAAGTTTAGCAGATCGGCCCCTAAGAGCGGCCAAAAAAATCCCAGAATTTTCTTGTCAGCCCGTCGATTCCAGGTGACTTGTTATTGTTCATACTTTGGACAACAAGTTGCAGTTCTTCCATGGTGATGGGCTTGTCTTGAGCTTCTGCTTGTTCTTGAGATATATCGTTTGTTCCAGGTATTGTAGCATCCTCGTTCGTGCCTCTCTCGGTGGTGTGGGGCAGATTAAGCATAGGGGTCTTCGTGTGATAGAACTCTTCGCAGAATTCCTTTGCTATGTTCAACATTCCTTCACTGTCTATCACTGTTTCACTTGGATTTGAGAGGGTTTTCAAGCTTTCTATCGCATTGGCCCTTGGGTTTGCTTTGATTCTTGCGAAGAAGTGTTTTGACATTGACTCAGTTCGTATTCATTTATTCTGGCTCGTATTCGTTTATTCTGGCTCGTATTCGTAGTCTCCCACCATCTCCACATAGTGAGTTTTATTGCCTTTTCGAAAATATATGTGTAAAGTATAGAAGAGGGGTTATCAATCAGATTGGTCTCTACGATCTTCAGGGTTGTATGCAACGCTTTCCTCTGTTTCCCATCGGTTGCTAATTTCCTTGAGATTCTAGCAACCGCTTGTGATAATGTGCAGTAGCTTTCCTGAAACCACTCCCACCGATCTTGTATTGGTAGGTAGGCACCCCTCAAATCCTGTCATTACTCTTGAACTCCTACATGAAAAGTCTGGCTCAGTAGGAGAGAGTTGTTGAGTTTGTGAAAGCTAGACCTTTTTTTGACGTATTGTTCGAAGTTGATTATGAGTTCGATGGGTTTGTGGTCCAGACCCGGGTACAGTGCGAGGGGCAGGATCTGAGCGCTTTTAGTTGTCCCCATTAGTGTCCCTGAGATGAGGAAGTAGTCAGTGAAGGAGAAAGCGGTTTGGTGGGCATGTTTTTTTTTAACCAATGTGAAGGCTCTTGTCCTCGGATGCAAAGTATGGTATGGTTCGACTGAACTAGCTTTTGGATGGGCACCGCCTCCTATGTATGCTGAACAACCGAGGACCTATATATACGATCCATGGCGGGGTCTGTAGTTGCGTTCCAATCACCGGCCAAAATGCAGGCCAAGAAAGGCGGGATCAAATGGCCAATGTTTGTTATAAATGGTGATATATCTGAAGAGTTGTTTGGTGAATAAACATTTATTACTTTGAACTCTTCCTCCTTCCATAAGGCACTATCTACTGTATACCGTGTCCGCCTCTTTGCCCACTATCGACCCTGCTGTGTATAGGCGGGATGATTTGGGTATAAGGATG